AAATTTTATGAATCAAAAAAAAACATCAACATATTGAAAACAACAAGCATAGCAAAAGAAAAGCATACTGGCCCTTTATAAAATGGGCTTTACAACCACGCATTAAAGCTAGCATGTTGAAAAGCTAGCAAATGAAGCCACACATTTTGGCCTTTCACATTGGAAAGGAAGTCGCAATGAAGACAAACAAAGCCAGCATGTTGAAAAGTAGGCAACATCATTTTAAAGACTGGTGAGCATGGCAATGTGACAGAGCTTCGAGAGACAAAATATTATGATTATGAATTATGATAAAAGGATTTCATGAAAAAGGTTTCATTCATATGGTATATGTTATAGTTATGATAGATGTGATATATAAAAAAAGTTAAAAAGTATTTTTACTTTTCAACTATTCAGTTAAGAGAGTCTAATATCCTAAACATATATGTGTGCAATTTCTTCCCTTTAACATTTAAAAATGGTACACTCTGCCATTAAAAAAATATAACTTTGACCATTATTTGATTTAAAATTGCATAAAATAACTGCAAAAAGTACAAAAAAATGAACCATAAAATTATACATTGGTATCCTATAAGAAAATTAATATCAATTAAACTTCCTAAATTAATAGTAGCACAAAGGAACTAGTAATAATAAAATAAATAAAAAATCTAGACTTTGAGCAAAAAACATACTTGAAAATAGAAAAATATTTTAGTTACCAAATTATAGTTACAAAGTTTTTTTAGGGGTTAATATACAATTTGAGTCCCAATTATATGTTAATGGGTGATTTGAATTCTAAACTTTTAAAAAGTACATTATGAATTCTAAACAATTAAAATTGAGACAATTTAATCCCCACTATTAAATTTGAATAAACGCCTATCAGTTTCTTAAAAATTGAGATTTAATGTGTGATTTTCACCAAGTTTCACTGTCACTCTCTCCCCATGGCATTTGAGAAAAATTACATATTAGGCCCTAATTTTTAAAAAACTGACGGATGCTTGTTTAAATTTAATAATGGAGGTGAAATTACCTCAATTTTAATTGTTTAGGATTCATAATGTACTTTTTAAAAGTTTAAAATTCAAATAATCTTTGAACCTATAGTTCAGGGTTCAAATTACATAATAATTCTTTTTTTAATTTATAGAAAACGAGGTTAAGCCCACACATATTATTCACTAATATATAAAACAAGGGACCAAATTCCCCACAAAATCTCTATATAATAGAGAGACAAGCTAATAGAATTTGAAACAACGGTTAATTAAGATACTTAGAGCTCTATACATTATTATTTTATTTTTTTTAGAGCTCTATAATAAAGTTAAGTTTTTTATTTGTATTCAGTTTTTGAGTATTATTGAATAAGAGATTCTGAGAGTGTCGGCCTTTCCCCTTCTTCTTTCTCTCTCTTCCCCCTTTTCTCTTCTCTCTCTTTCCCTTTTCCCTTCTCGTTTCACATCAATTTGATATTAGAGCCTAGGTCCACCTCCCTTCCTTGTGTTGCTTTTCTAGTTGATATTTATAAAATAACCCAAACCTTCCCTAAAACCACATGTCATCATATAAAATATTTAAAAGGTAATCTTCAGTCCATACATTGATGATTTTATATGGGATATTATCATGAGTGCCAATGTAGGGAGTGCCAAAATTATTATGGCACCACAGCTCGGTGTGTTGGGCATCCATAATATAATGAAGGCTACTAAAGGAAAATAATTGAAGAATGATGACAATACTAGTATGCATATGACTAATGGTGTGGTTGTGAAGCACATTGCAAGGTTGGATATGCACAATAGATTGTTAAGGATGAAAGTTTTTATGCTAAATTTTGAAAGGTGAATAACTGAGGTTAAACACAATGCTAAATCCAACGGTAAACTAAAACATCAAATTCAAGAAGGTACACGTTTAATTGAAAAAAATAAAGAAGAGTTTCCAAACAATTTTGGAATCGCTAAATCAGCAAAATAAGTAATAAGGCAAGAAGAGGTTAAAATTCCTACCTTAAATTTAAAGGAATCTATAGTAATCCTTGTGGAGCCTAATCATGAGAGTGGTTTATCTATTCTAGCACCTTTATTATTACAGGCTATATTAAAAACTCCACTAAAGGCTCCTTTATGTCCTGTGTAAATGGCACTTTTTTAAGTTGTGATCAGCCAGAATCAACCTCACCTTACTACAAATTCACCTCATCTACAAGCTGCTGTTGCCAAGAATGTCTTGTCACTTAACATGAAGGTTCAACAATATCCTATTTGCTGGAAATGTTTTCTAAAGATTCCAAATTATCAATGTTGTCCTTCACATGATGCAGTTCATTGCTACCTCATTTGTTGGAAAGGATTTTAAGATTTATGCACATGCATGAAATTTTATCCCACCCGTCCCTCCCACCTAATTTGTGCCTCAATTTTAACTCATTGGGAGACACATTCTTCAAGTGGGGGAGAAACGATATAATACGGGATAATGGTTAATTAAGTCTTAAGACAACTAGAATTTTTTAAGATGTTAGGATTATCCATTAGGGATATTTAAATAATGATACTTATCTATTAGAATTATTAGAATTAGAATTTATTATTTATTTTATTGTTATCTTAGATATTAATATCTTTAAGATTATATTTAAATTTAGAATTTAGGATTTGAATTTAAATTACTATTATTTTATTATTTTTAGAGCTCTATAAATAGAGTTAGATTTTTCATTTGTATTTAGCTTTTGAGTATTATTGAATTATAAATTCTGAGAGTTTTGGCCTTTTCCTATCTTATTTCCCTCTCTTCCCCTTTCTCTTCTCTCTCTTCCCCTTTCTCCTTCCCATTTTACATCATAAGCTCTGTGGGAGACGTCTCAAGAGTAAGACAAGTATCAACCTGATTCACACATTTTATTTAGCAAGCCAATTTATACATCTATTACCCTCTATAAACACTTTTTTAACCACAACATCAATATCTCTATGAAGAAGGTTAACACCATGCTTGAGCTACAGTAGTCAATTTGTCCTGATTTGAAGGAAAGAAATATTTATTAATAGGGTAAGACATGGGTACTTAGCCTTATGTTATTAATATACTTTTATTCAATAAAATAAAAACAAGTAAAACTTTAACATTTTAATAATAATAATAATAATAATTTATTATAGAATAAATAATCTATAAATGATACACATATCTTGATTTAATTGAAAATAAGTATCTTTAGCATACATATAGCTAAGCATATAAGTTTTTTCCTTATTAATATAAGTTAACTAATTACATTCATTATTTATCATACATATGAACGACTTGCATAATATTATATGCATGATTGGTCTTTAATCTATATATTCACACTTACTTTTACAATATAATCCTAAATATATTATAAATAACAAGTAAGATCATGATTTTTTTGCATATTTGAGTTATTTTTTTCTTGCATTGCTACACTTTTACTTATATAATATTCTGATGTCTCAATCATATGATTTAATATACCCTCACGGTTCAAAAACTAGTTACATAAAAAAGATAATAAAAAAAGAACCATATTAAGTGATTCCCGCTTGTCCAGAAAAGTTAATTCAACTAAGTGACTAACAAACAATATGGAGGAAAAGTGATGCCCCAAGTTAATGATGTCATTCAGAGCAATACCAGAAGTTAAGCAATCTCAGCTTCCCATGAATTTTCCTGAAGCAGATGACTTCCATCGGAAATTTCTCAAGTGCATGTGCAGATATGAAGGTGAATTGTTAGCTTGTTTGAGTGTGATTAAGTAGATTTAAGACTTCACATATTGAATAAAATTAAACTTAATAACTAATATATAATAAAAAAAAAGATGCACAAGCTTAAATTTTGAGGTTTTAAGTTAAGATGTGACGTTCATTTATTTATCTTACTTGTTTCTCCTTTCCCTTGTTCCTAGTCTAAGCAGCTAGCCTTGATTGCTTGTGTAGGGACTTGGTATTTGGACGTCTTTAATATGTAGAAGTTGTAAATTCATATTTGAAAGGAAGATTGTTAGGTTGTTCAAGTGAAAGTGAATTTAAGATGATGTGAGATTCCGAACAATCACTCTTCATTGAGAAAATTTGGAAAACTAAGATCCAACTACTTTTCCTCAATTTTTTTTTTTCTTTTCCTGATCCAGATCGTCCAGTTGATGCATGCATCGTCTAGTTCCGAGGCTTGAAGAGGTCAATCACAGCTATCAATGGCACGTTTTAAAAATACTAATTTAAAAATTTCTCCTCCGATCATCTTTTTCCTCCTTCGTCTGGTTTTTGTGTGCAGCTTTCATCTTCCTTCTAATGCAGCAAAAATCGTAGATGCGAAAAGTTGAAAAAGTCAGAGCTTTGGTATATATCCGATTCCTCTACCTTTTCTTTCCTTATATTTTCTTATAATCTCTTTTCTTTTCTTTTTAACCCATTCATTTTCTTCATGACTTCTCTTTTATTCATCCATGCATGTTCTTAATTCCGTTTCTTTTATTCTTCTTTCTGGTCGCTGGTTTTTACTTTCTTTTTTATTTTTTCCCAGCAAGCCGCTGAATTGATTAACCCCACATGTTGGCTGGTTTTTGCGGGGTTACCTGGGCAAAAGCATGTTACTTTAATCCCGGTTCGTTTCCTTGACTAGACCAATCAAAGGATTGGCTCATTAGTTTATTAGTCTGGTCGATTTTAAATATCATGATTCATTGTATATTATTGTGTAGTTTAAACTACATGACATGACAACCAATCACCCATAACAAATACAACACAAACAACAACAACGAAGGCATAATTTTCAACATTCAAGTTCCTCAACATGACACTTATAACAATAATACATCCTATTTGAAAGATGACGGTCTTAGTAACTTCACAATATGACACTTAAAATCTTATTTTTTAGTACTTTTTTTATTATTTTTTTTTTCGTGATATACTTGACCTCTAAATAAAAATATCAATGCTAACATTAATTTAAAAGATAAATTCATCTTAAAATACTAACTTTTTAAAAATTCCTTACACTTATAAATTATACTTATCTCATGAGATACCGAAATAAGACTCATCATTCCAACACACACACGTATACTTATAGCATCTAATTATTGTAGCATAGTTTCGCTTCAAATTAAAACCCATCACATAAACATATTAAAGCAAAGCCCTATAACATATAATTTGCCATAGTTTCCATAACCAAAGACCCTAGCTAGTCACGTTGAAGTCAGGGCTTGCCACAATGTAATCTGCAACGACTTTGAAGAGCTGTCCCCCCCTCATCTTGCCTCTCTTTATCAGATCCTCCGCGGGCGGCGAGTCGCCTTTAGTATGGTATTTGATGACGAACTTCACGACGGATCCGCCGTCAGAGCCTTCCACCACCTTCGTCTCAAAGCAGACCTTCTCCAAGCTGTCTGGAAATATACTTCCTCCTACTACGCTGTAATTGTATCCAAGGTTTGCCTCATCAATTTCATCTACTTTGTGCAACACATCAATGGCGTTCCCTCCTGCATCCATCCATTAACATACATACATACATACATACATACATACATGCATACATCCTCTTGATTTGCAATTGATCATGTTGATTTCCTTGATACTAACCTTGGCCAACGGAAGTGATTTTCTTGATGCTTCCAGGGCCGCCAGTGCCTTCAATGACTTGGATACTTTTAACGGAGGGATTAGCCTTTGGAAGGATGGTGTTGAATTGTTTTACCAAAGTGTTGTATAGTTTAGCAGGAGGCACCACAGAGATGGTCTCTGTCTCGTAAGCGAACACACCCATGATTTATGATAAACACAGGTCAAAGCACAGGCAGCAGAGAGCTATGGCTATGGGGTTTTGAGACGAAGAAGAAGAAGAAGATTTATTAGACTGTGTTGGGCGATTTTCTTAGGAGAGGCAGGGTATTAATTTATAGGCAATATAGGTGTGCGAAGTCATCACTAGGTATATTTCTTGGGGAAGAGGTTTCTACTTTGAAAAATCCCCAGTATGAAGATAGACTTTTTTTTTTTTTTTGACCTGAATAGTATGATGATGGATTTGGACTATATATTGCTGGTAAAAAAAAAAAAAAATAAAATATTTTTAATTAAATTTTATTTTTTAATAAAGTAATTATTTATCTTTAAATTAATCATATTTTTTTTATATTTATTCTTATTAAACACTCTATAATAAATATAAAGTTACTATCAATAGGAGTACTTTTAAAAAAAGGCAATGATTATACTTCGAAAAACTAAAAATGCTCTATATTTTTGAACATCTAACTCTTCAAAAAAATGCTTTATATTTTTAAATAGAGGGAGCATGTATTAATCAAGTAATGCAACTTTAATTTACAATACCATATCTAATTAAGTTGATGGTCATGACGGGTCACAGAAAAGAGCTCCATGTGTTTATTATAGAGTTAAAAGTTATTTTTGTCTCTCAATTTTATTTGATGGATCATTTTATTAGAGTTGAATATGGGTTAATTTTATCCCTTAATGTTAAAATTTTTCTCTCTTATTATTCTAATGTTAAAAATGCCTAACACTTGTTATCAGTGGATTTCATCATTTTTTAATATCTTATTATTATTTTTGTTGATTGGGTTAAGATTTATTTTTGCCTCTCAACTTTTACCTTAAGGATTGTTAAGCACCCTCAACTTAATGTTTTATAATAAAAAAATATTAAAAAGTTGTAATATGAGATCCATTAATGATAAAGAGATTGTGAGAAAACGACAAGTTAACAAGTGAGATAATCTATAGTATTGAGAAACGGAATTGACCTAATTTAAATTTAAAGTATTCAATGATTTTTTAAATAAAATTTATAGATAAAAGATGATTTTTAACCTTTTATCCTAAACCAACTAAATAAAAAATAACACCATAATATATGTCTATTTCAAAATCTATTCGTATAGTTTCTTAATTTGTTTTAAATTAGCCATCGATGTAGAGATGAATCAACTGTATATTGTCACTTGGTTTTCTGACTTTTCATTTCTTTAGCTTTTTTTTTTTTAAATTTCACTGTGTCTGATATTTTTTGATTCTATATATAAGTTACCCAGTGATCCTTTTTACTAATCACTTTGCATAAAAAGATTGGTTATTGTTTTTCCTTTTCAATTTTACCATTTCACAATTTTCTATAAGTTTAATAAAAAAGTTAAATATAAGAGAGAGAATATTTTTACATTTGAAAATTCCCCAGTATGAAGATAGACTTTTGTGTTTTTTTTTTTTTGACCTGAATGATATAAAGATAGACTTGGACTATGCATTGCTGGTCAAAATAAAAAAAAAAGGACTTGGACTATGTATTAATCAAGTAATGCGACTTTAGTTTACAGTACCATATATAATTCAGTTGATAACCATGACGGGCCATAGAAAAGAACTCCATATGTTTATTTTAGAGTTAAAAATTATTTTCACTTCTCAATTTTACTTGATGAATCATTGAACATTCTAAATTTAAATATAAATTAATTTTATCTTTTAATGTTAAAGATTCTCTCTTTTATTACTCTAATATTAAAAATGTCTACCGCTTGTTATGAGTGAGTTTTACCATTTTTTAATATTTTATTATTATTTTTGATTAAGTTAAGATTTATTTTTACCTCTTAGCTTTTACATCAAAGATCATAGGCACCCTCAACGCAATGTTTTATAATAAAAAAAATTAAAAAGTTGTAATGCAAGACTCACTAATAATAAAGAGATTGGGAGAAAAGGATAGGGTAATGAGGAAGATAATTTATAACATTGAAAAATAGAATTAATCTATAATTAAATTTAAAATAGTATTCAATAATCTTTTAAGTAAAATTTAAGAACAAAAAATGACTTTTAACTTTTTATCCTAAAGCCAACCAAATACAAAATAACACCACAATCTATGTCTATGTCAAAAACTATTCATGTAGTTTCTTAATTTGCTTTAAATTAGCTATCGATGTAGAGATGAATCAACTCTATATTGTCACCTGGGTTTCTGACTTTTCATCGCTTTAGCTTTTTGTTTTTTTTTAAATTTCACAGTGTCTGATGCTTTTTTGATTCTATGTATAAGTTACCTTTAAAAAAAAAATTAGTGGTCCTTTTTATTAATCACTTTGTATAAAAAGATTGGTTATTGTTTTTCCTTCCAATTTTACCATTTCATAATTTTCTATAAGTATAGTAAAAAGGTTAAATATAAGAGAGAGAATATTTTTAAAGTATCATTTGATAAAAATAAATTAAAAATTTTCTTTCTTTTAAATTTAGATGACATTAATAATTTAATTACATCTCTTTAATTTCAGTCAACTATTTAGAGATGACTTATATGTAAAGCCTACCAGGAAGTACAATGCAATTTAAGTAATGAAAGAAAGAAAATAAAATTAGCTTAGTTTTTTTCGGACCAAAATTAGCTTAGTTTATTGCGTCTTTTTTTTTTGGTTAATGTTTATTGCGTCATTTTTTCCTAGGAGTCGTCTTCCACAGAGAAGGCGTTACGTACCGAACCTCACTTGCTCCTGAGTGTAATAAATCAATTAAGTTAAATTATAGCACTCCAAAGACTTGAATGATTTCATTTTACTTTTTACAACTATCTAAAAGCACTTTCACTGAAAACGCGGATGTGTAAAGAGAGATGATGAGTGAGAGTGAGAGTGGGGGTTTGTTAACTGGCGATGGTTCTAAGTCTGGTCCAGGAGTTGGGGAAGCTAGCCGTGGACTATCTAAGGATGAAGAGGATGTGATTGCCCGGAGTGTCAATAAGATTCACCATCGAGGTGAGACAAGTAAGCAGAGCATGTCTCAGGGGATTACTGGTGTGGAGGAAGTGAGGCCCGAGGCAATGCTGAACCAAGAGGGAGGTAAAAGAAATGGTGAAAGAACATGGTCCCAAGTCTCCTTCAGGGATATTCTAGTCGAAAAGGACTCTAAGGAAGTAGAAGAGGACTTTGAGGACATTTTTCAAGGATGGCTCAGAGAAGAAAAGGAACTATCTCCAGCATTCACAGAATCCTAAAGGAAGATTTTCGACCAAATTCCCAGAGTTGATATGCCGGATGATTAGTGGAAAAAGTTATGCTTACCTTGGAAAAATGCCCTAATCATAACTCTAATGGGTAAAAGATTATGGCTTGAGGAATTAAGGAAGAGACTGGGAGTGTTGTTAGGCTCGTTGGATTTTGAACTGATTGATATGGCAAATAACTACTTTGCTCTAAGGTCTGATAACAAACCTCTTAGAATGAAGCTACTGAACGAAGGCTCGTGGGTGATCTTAGGGCATTACTTAGCTATGTAACGGTCGAGCCCTAACTTTAATCCTTTTAGCAGCAATGAGTAGAAGCTCGTGATATAGGTTCGAATACCAATCCTACCACTGCAGCATGAGTAGAAGCTCGCGATATGGGTTCGAATACCAATCCTACCACTGCATTGTTACACGGAGGATATGTTAAGAGAGGTGGGAAATAAGATTGTTATGGTGCTTAAGATTGATAGAAACACATTGGTGAAAAGAAATGATCTTTTTGTGAAAATGGGGAGAGGAAGGTTCGTAAGAGTAAGCATGGAGGTGGATCTTAATAAGAAGTTGCATTCAAGGTTTGTTATTAGAAATCAAGTTTTTAATGTTATGTATGAGGGCCTGAGGTCATATGTTTCCATTATGGGAGGTAAGGCCCTAAGAAGGATGACTGTCCTTTGCCAAGAGAAGAGGAAGCCCTTGCCAGATAGAGGTGATCACCGGAGAAGAAAACTGAAAGCTCAGTCAGGCAGGAATTTTAGTCCATGCATATTCTGATCGAAGAGGAACACGGTGGGTGGATGTTAGAATGGAGAAGCTACAGGCCTAGGTGGTCTAGACTGAGCTGGGGTAAGGATGCGGATCAATGGCAAAGTCAGTTTGGTCAGAAAAAGTCTTCCTTCTAGTACAATAAAGGTGCAGCTACCTCGAGATTTAGTGTGCTAGAAGAGGCCTCTGATGAGAGAGAAGGAAATGTTGATCAACAAGCTTTCACAAAAAAAATCTTATGCAACAAAATGGAGGCGAAAGGACGTCCAAAAAAACTGAGACTTCTTATGATAGGATGGGTACGGGAACCGAGGCAGCAGTCCTCAGTTAGCGTCAAGAGGACCAGTGAGGGAAAGTCAAAAGGTCAATCAATATGGAAGGATGACGTCATTCAAGATAGCCGTACTAGGAAGGATGCAGGTCTGGATAATGATGCAGAAACGGACTCAGGTTTTTGTTTTAACGCACCTAGATTGGGCCGACAGCCTGTGCAATTTTTAGGCTCAAGAAAAAAAAAACATAATAGGCCGGTGAAAGCTTTGCACGTGAATTACTCCAAAGTTGAGTCTAGTAAAAGCCCAAGTGGGAATGAACAATTATTTTAGTTTAATGCTTCAGCTTTTAAAAAGGGAAACGAAGCTCTGGGCTCAAGAAGAAAGAAAAAGTATTATGGCGCTGGTAAGGGGTCCCCCATTAAAGTGGGTTAAAAGAAATGCAACGTCTCAACTAAAGGACTTATCTCCCTTATTGAAATGCTCACTCAGGAAGCGCAGCTTGGTAGAAGGGTCAATGATGAGAAGGGAGTTATTTCCAACTTCGAATGCAACTAGGGAACTTAATTTAAATGAGAATTCTAGAGGCATATGGGATAATGTGCCCATGGATATTCCCTCAGAACTGCAGGGTACACATGGTTCTGAGATGTAGTTTCATCATCCTAGTCAACCACCGGAGCCCAATCAAAGATGTTTAGTCTAACCTTCTAGTATAAATGGGGAAATAGAGACACAAGATCAATTCTTTGAAGTCAATGAAGAAAGTTTATAGAGTGAACATGGTACGTCCCT